CCTGAGAGGGGTCCTGAGAGCTGGTTGGCAAACTGAACAGCGAGAATGATCCAGTATCATTTGCAGGAAACTCTCTATGTGATCCAACTGGGCTGAAACTTCCAGATACCCTGGTTACGTTCAGGGACTCATGATGACTAAAGGAGGCAGATGACTGAGAAGCAGATCTCCCAGCACTGAATAATGATTCTTCCCTCCATGATGAGAGAATCCGACTCTTAAAAGGAATCTGTGTGCTACTGCCTGGTGGTTCAGAACGCCTCAGTAGACTTAGGCGGGGGGTAGAAAATGATGCCCTTGTTTCATTCAGGAACTCATGCTGACTAATGGAGGAAGCTGACTGAGAAGCAGATTGGTTTCCAATTTGTCCAACTGCAAATAAAATAAAGACAATGGCAATTATTTTTCTCTTCATAATTATCTTATTGTTTTTCTTTTTAAAAGCAATTGGTAAAATTTAGAGGGTATTTTTGGGAAAGTAGGATAGTTGAACACATAGAAGGAAGGAAAAGTGACTGAGACTTACATGGTTCAGAACCCTCCACTTGAATTGGTAGAGATGCCTGAGATGGTTGATCCTCAATTCCTTCAACTGCAAATAAAAGAAGAAAAAAATTGTTTCTTTTAAGTTTTACGTTTGGTTTTCTTTGAGACAAAAATTGTTCAATTGAAAGGGCAAATGAGAGAAGTTAAATGTGGGGGAGGGAGTATAAACTAGCAAATCCTTATAAAACCCTCACCTAAAGTCTTACAGCTTTTTCTATGATTATCAAAGAGTCTCTTTGATGAGTATGCGGATGAGCATACATCACAAAAGTAGTTTGCCCTGCTATTTGACGCCTACAAAACAGAATGGCACACAGTTACGAAAACTCTTTAAAATGTCACAATGCGAACAAACACTTGTAGTAAGCAACTGTTTTCACCTTCATCTTGACTCGAGTTTCAGTTTCCGGAGACCATTCTTCATCACCTCCATTTTTCTTCTTTTTAGGGGGTACATTTGGAGTTTGCCCCCGAGTCATAAAATCAGGTAGAGTTGCAGGATATCCTGAATTTTCAAATTGCAGAGTAAGTTTTCACTTAGGTATTGGTGATAAAAATTTATGAATAAAATTTAATATATGTACACTCACCAGCCTCTTTCATGTTATTGTAGTTTTCATATCGGGATAGGAACGACTTCTTGTCATAGGCAGACATCTCTTCCCATTCCGTGGCTTGGAAGAAATGTTTGATGGGAGCAAACTCATCTTCAGGCTCTGGACAACACAAAGTTAAGTGTGTGTCAATTCTATTGAAATTTAGGAAGGCAAGATGTAGAGGAGGGTAAAAAAAATGGCAGTGAATTAAGAAATTGTCCTTGGCGCAAGGTAAACATCATTTGAGTTGTCAAAAGGGGTCCAAGCAGACAACAAGCGATAGGATGGTATCATGCTGGCTTCTTTGACGACGATTGGAGATCCTCGAAGGGGCTTCATAAGATATGCACAGAAGTGTGAGTCGTACTTTACTGTGCACCACTCTTGTACCAGTAAAAAAACATGTTTCTCACAGCTTGAAACATACACAGCTTTGATACAAGCAAACACTGGAAGACTAAACTGAGTCCTCAACTTCTCAGTGATGTATAATTCTGGTCTATAATCCACACCATCAAGAACAACAAAATCAACTTTATAAACTTTGCTTCCAGGTTGCAAACCAAATGCAGACAACTCCTGTCTATGAAGGGACTCGCTTACATAGATTAGTTCTCTTCCTCTTTTGCTCATAGTCAGTCGTTTTGAAGTCTTTAATTTATCTGCAATGATTTTCATTTGTAGTATCTCCATCAGAGTTTTCAGAATATTTTTGAAGTTATGACAAACTGTGGCACAAAGCTTAAAAAAGTAATGTTTAGCCTCATATCTTATGCACCAATAAAGAATTAAAGGTCCATAATTTCTTATAAAATTTACATAATGAAGCATATGATGGTGTTTGTTGATCATTCTGATGACTTTAGGTTTTTTTTTCACTGCTTTTGCAGTAGATTTTCCTGTTCCAGTAGAAACATTCCCTGCTTCAGCTTGATTTAAAACTTGGATTTCTTCATCATGCGGCACAGCTTCTTCATCAGCAAATTCCTCTTCAGGGAGTTCCAGTGCCTCTTCAAGGAGTTCCAGATCCGTTTCAGGGCGTTCCAGTGTCTCTTCATTGTGCTCTACTACTTCTGCTTCTGGATCATCAGGGTTTACAAAGCTGTTTTCAAGCTCTACTTGAGCCTGCATTTCCTCTTGCTGAGCAGCCATAGATGTTTCAACTGGCACCCCTGGAAAAATTTCTTGAAAAAGAGAGTGATGCTCATGAACAAGTTTGTCCAACATTTGCAGGTCATATTCGCAGATAGAACGAGCAAACAATATTGCCATTATTTCATTGAGCAAGCACACGAGACGGAAAAGCTTATCTCCTCTGGGAACCAAATCGCCCAACAAGAAAGGGAAGCTGCGTACAAGTAACCACATCTGTGCCCCTGTCTGATGCAAATTATAATTCTTGATCTCATTTAAATATCTGAAGGTAAACAACTTTGCAGAAGGTCTGTTCTTCTTGTCAGCCATACCATAATCGAAACGTCGTATTCTGGAATTCAGTTCTTCCTCAGTTATATATTTTTTCTTGCACACAAATTCTCTCAGTGCTAATTTAACTTCCATTTTGCAAACCCCCTGGTTCAAATCATGAAAAATGTCAGGTACACTTGATCGGACACAATGGAAAAAGCGCAGTCCATCAAGTAATGGTGAACCTCTAACACCCGTGGCTTTCACTACTACCACATTGTTAGATCCACGAATATCCTCAGTATGGCGCTCAGGAGTTCGAGGTGCACCTATCTTCGTGCCATCTGCCCACATATCCTTCCTGTTCATATAACAGAAGCGACAAAACATGTGGCAGGACGGAGAGACAAATCCAAGGACTTCATGGGCAGCTAGCGTGTCACCTATCTGTGCCACAAGCACAGCTTTGAAATTGTGAACAACACCATCAATGACAATGTCAAAACCCTCTGTTTCTAATTTTTTCATATCAGAAAGAAATTTTTCCCAGACTTCTTTATGCTTGGCATCATCAGCATTTGCAAGGGCTGTAACAAATATATAATTAAGAAGGCTGTTAAGCTCTGCTGGAAGATTTTGAATTCCAAAGTAAATGCCAGCAATCTTATAAACTCCAGCTTGTGAGGACAACGCCTGAAGGACTTCAAGGTCATCAACATATATAATGATACGAATAGCACCTTGCAAGTCTGGCGGCAATGTTTTGAACAAGGCTCCATCTCGAAATGACCGAAGGAAACCATCAGAGCTTGACTTTTCAGATAAAATTAAATCCCTCAAGTAAGGATCACTCATGACACCTTTTAATATATCTATGATACTGACATACTGATATGACTTAGGTACTTGAGTGAGTTCAAGCCGTGGTCGTTTGGGGTGTTGTCTTGAAACAAATGTTTCTCCCAGATATATTTCTTGAGGAAGGAGAAGGCCGTATTTCTTTTCAAAGCATTTAAGCTGTTGTGATTTAGTCTTTAGCTTTTCAAACGGGTTTTCAATGGAAAATTCTTGCAATAATTGATCCAGATTTTTATCTTCTTCTGGCTTATTAAGAAAGTCCAACACTTTTTGCTTAAGATGGGTAGCAGTATCCTGCATGAGAGTGTGGCACTGATCATTGACAGCTTGGATTGCTACATTAGTCATGTATGCCACACTTCTTAATTTTAAAACTGAGCGCTCGGCTGCACTCTGTAGAACATGTTCATTTTCAGAAACTGAAGCCGCCGCTCCCTCTAAATCATCAAATGTGGGTTCATCAACCACGAAATGACACACTGCTGGTGGTGCATTGGATGACGAAGGCGTGGATGGTATAGCAGTCGATGATTGATGATGGTCACGCAAATGTCCATAGAGAGTACGCCGATTGGTATATGAGGCAAAACAATTTGACTGTCCACATCTAAATGGAGGGATATGATACCCTCCCTGCAAGTGATTTTGGAAAGCCGTCATGCCTCCAGGCACAACTCTTTTGCATTGGGCACAACTGTAGTCCAGACTCAAGTCTTGGGATTTAAAAAAAAAAAAAAAGAAGAAAGATAAAATGTTAGGAAAGGGACTGAGGCTAACATAAGTTCAGACTTAGCTGATACTTTTTCATCATGTGAAATCAAGTACAATAATAGCTTTAAATACCCAGGGAAAACACAGTGTAAAAGTAGAGAACGGTCTTTAAATGTCAATAACTCTAGAATAGACCCTTTCAGAATTAGCGAAGTGAAGAACAAGGTGAAGAACAACAGGCAGGAAACAGTTGCTTTTAATAACCCAAACGTTTATGAAAACTTGCATAAAATATAAACAATATCAAAATGACAAGACCTACAGTTCATTCAAGTGTTTAGGGTACATTTGGGTGATTAAAAGCTACTGTTTCCGGTCTATTGTTCTTCGCCTTTTTCTTCACTTCGCGAATTCTGAAAGGGTCTATTGTTTTGACTTTCGCATTCTCCTCGAGTACTCATAGGTATCAAAGTACATACAAACATACACTGATGAATCTTATATAATTGGATAAACATACTTTTGTATACTTTCATAGCAACACATATTGATTTACAATAACTTGTTTTGTAATTTAAAAATTAATATTTGATGTTGAAAGTTGTCTGAAAAATGATTTGCATGAATAATTTGAAATACACACTTGCACAGAAATTTGGTGAGCATACAAATTGACCTGATATACAACAACAGGTTGCACTGAAAGTATACAATACAATAAGGGAGTTACAATCTGATGTATACAATTCAGAAGTTGTAATCTGATAACAGAAGTTGTACAGATTTTCCATTATTGAACCAGAACAAAAGTGCCATTGCTATGAAATTTCTAGCCCTTCGGGTAGTTTCAAAACAAAGGCAGTCATAACAACAAATATTACCAGTTGAAGAACTATTTTAAACAGTGCAGGTTTGACAAATATGGATTTGTTATTTCACCCCTCTTTTCATCAGTAAAGTAAACTAATTCAATAATTCAAAAATGAAAGGGTACAAAAATTAACTGGGAGCAAGCAACAGTGAGGTTATAAACAAAGGTTATAACCAAACCAAACTAATCACGTAGGTAAAACTAAGAGAGGCAAGTAAAAAGATCATTGTTACGAATAAATACCTCCCAATGCAGGATTCGTAGCTCCATCGAAGCCAGCTCCCCGAAAATCCGGCTCGTCCAATCGTGAATCATGATCCATCTTTACATCAGAATCGGAAGCTCACACAACAAATAAGATACGAACTGAAATCAAAACAAAAGACATGTAAAACGAGCACACGCACTAATCTAAAGTTAATAGGCATAAGCAAATACTCTAGTTTTCAAATTAGTTCCAAAGAAATCACAATTACACTCCAGCCAGTCAGCAAATATTACGACGTGAGGTGGTGGACACGGAACGGAGGGAGACGGAGACGAAGACGAACTAGAGTGTTGATGGTGTGGGGAGAACGGGCGGGTCCCGCCCAGCAAAGCCAAATCCGAGGCCGGATTGCCTACATGCAGGGGGGTATAGTGTTTTTCTGAACTGGCACGGCTGGCAGATAGTTTTATCTCGAGGTATGGGTTTTATAAGATAGGGGTAGTACTAAAATTAGGATGCGCAAAATTTTGGGATGATCGGATAAGATTTAATCATGATTAAAAGGTCCCGCAGCCGAAGCCTTTCTACCCTACTCTCCTACGATGTAGGCAACCCGCACCCGAAGACAACAACCGAAGTGAGACTCGACAGTCCGTTCCCCAAGGAGAGAACAGACATACGTGAAAGAGAGAGATAGATGGTCAATGCGCTGATTGGTCCCTTCATTGATACTTGTGATTTCATTGGCTATCTCCAGAGGGAATGACCAAAATTTTCCTTGAAAAATCATTTTCTACTTACTTTGCTGTGAAGAACAGCTGCAATAAAGGCTGTGAAAAGTTTCAATTAATATAACAATCACTTAGGGAGTCTATCAAATTTAATTCGAAATGATGTAAAAACCAACGAAGACAAACGGCAGGTCGATCACATTCACGTCGAGCGCTGGCGCCCGAACCCCGTCTAGACGGTCTAGACGGCGTTCCGTTCCACAGTTTCCACTGTTGCCAGACTTCCGACTAATTTTCAATTACATGGGAATCATCGCTATTCTGATGTTGATCATGTTGCTAGCTTCCAGTTACACCCAATTAACATTGCGCGTCTTCTGGAACATCTGACATAAGTTAATACTCTGATAGTTGTAGCGCAAGTGGACCGGCAAGAACTGCGGCAACAGTGGAAACTGCGGAACGGAACACCGTCTAGACCGTCTAGACGAGGCGCCGAAACCCTGTCTAAAACGGAATGTGATCGACCTGCGGCCCGGCTTGACACCGCCAAACTCCACCGATAGGGCGCGCTAGGTTCGCTACTGATCCTCTGAGGCAAGTTACTATGCTATGAGAAATTAAGCTTTCCGGCTCGTAATACTCAAAAGAAGAAAAACACGGGGAACAAGAAAACGGGCAGTGACGTAGAGGCAGGAATCTTTAGACCAATCGTGAACGTTTATGTTCTAGCCGCTCTTCTTCTTCCTCCGTTAGTCGAAATACACTATTCTTTCGTCAGGGGCGGTCAGGGGACTGTATCAGTTCGTAAAGTTTTTAATTGAAGAAGTAAACTGTGATTTTTCGGTTTAAGATATTAACTATCTAATAAAATTTCTCTATGTTCCTCATGGAAGTATAAGATTAATACTCAGTCTACAGGACAAATTGTATCTTTTTTTAACCTGGCAGTTGCTGGGAAGTTGGGGAGCAAATACAGTAAATACTTTGACCTTTTATTTATTGAATTGTCTAATCAACCTTCTCCAGAATTCCTACTCAAGATCTTCACACACTGACAAAATTTTACTCAATATTTAACAGCCGTTTCAGAAATCTTTTCGTGGCAGCACTAGTACATCAATATTTCACAGTTTGCAAACAAACCACACTCTTAAAATGCATGAGAATTAAAACAAAATGCACAGTTTATGATTAAAGACAGAAGCAATCTATACTAGAAATAATACACCTGTACACATTCAGTCAGTTAACAGAATTGGGCATCACTGGATCAAGGTGTTGTGTTGAAGCCAGAGATGAGTTTGGTTTTGCTGGTACTAGCAGTTCTCAAGTTCAACAGCCCGCACAAAAAAACTGTAACAAATAGTAAAAGAAACACATGCGCTAAAATATTTTTTGTGTATATTGGCCTCTTGACTTGTAATCTAAATATTATTGTACCAACCGTGGTCCTATTTACTGGAGTCGCCAAGCCTCTTGCACAGCTAATAAGGTAAATTTGAACACTCTACTGTTTGGATGAAGACTAGGCCTGCATGAGTCACAAAGAACAGCCACTGTAAGCAGAAACAGTAACACTAAGCCTATTATACGGAACCAGATCAAATGTTATTTAAAAATGTACATTTCAGAGCACGATTAGTGTGTAAAAACTGCATCTGTAAGTACTTCACAGGCAACATGTTTCCAAACTTGCTGAACTCATCTTATACAACAGACATACATTTCAGAAGGTCTTATGATTCTCTATGCATGCAAGTATCACAAACCTCATCCACATTGGCAACATCCATCTTGACTCATAACAAGGAGCTCTGAATCCACTTTCCCGTTCAAGCATTAACCAGCAGCTGATGAAGAAAGCAGGAAACTCGACAGAGCAGACACCTGCAACAGTTAGACAATAAAAGATAAATGGCAGTCCAAAACTGAAACAATTAATACAAACTACCAAACATGTTGGTCAGGAAGATGCCAGAAGCACATTTAGAAAAGCATGAAAATTGTTATTTCATGTGAGGTTTTCACAACACCAATAGAACTCATTCGGTTTTAACCAAAGTGCCAGTTGATCGTGCATAGGCCTAAAATCTTACAAAAAATAGGGGAAATGCGTGAAAATTGCTATTGCATTGCTCAAACGGTTGTGGCGATAAAAAGCAAAGCAATGAAAACAGATACTAAAACACTAAGCCGTGCGGAAGGTTAAGTTACTCTCACCTGGAGAAACTTTCAAAGTCGCAGTTACACGCACTACGGAAGGCGTACGAAAGGATAACGCCTTTATAATTGTATTCAATTGAGACGGCACCGTCAAGACTCGCAAGTCACCAGAACCGTCTTAATTCTCTGGATTGTAGAATGTAAATAGACAAGGGTCGGGGGTGAAGGTGAGGAGGGAAGCAGGGAGGAAAGGGGGGGGGATAACAAACAGCTGACCAGCTTGAAAAAGACTGCGAATAACGCATCAACGCGTTGTTTCACCTTGGTCATGTTGTTTTGTTTTCGTTTTCGTTTTGAAAAGCAGAAGTAGTTGTAATTCCAGTAGGCTGGAGAATTATCACAAAGTTTTGCCATGGTTCTAGAAAAAGAAAATCTTTTGTTGTGCCAATTACGTTTGTGTGTCCGAATACCGACGTTTCGTGCTGTTTTCTTGTCATTTAATGGTTCCCCGAAAACCATGACAATACTTGTTGATCGAACCGGCAAGAATTGCAACCTAACCCTTCTTCTGTGGATGTGATCAGATGAGTGTTCTAGATAGGTATGTACATGATTTCAATCACTGCAAAATCCTAGGATTTTAGTGGCCAGTCCACATTCTTCACATTATATGCTCATGTAAAAAAAACATTTTCAGTGTTATTTTGGAACACACTTTGATGATTAGATATCATTACTATGTTATTCTCATTAAGCTTCCCTACTTGATAGTTCAATTGGTCCACTGTCCACTTTGATAGTGGAGCTTTAACTCGGATATTGATGTGTTAAGACTTAATTACAACCAGAAGTTATTTTAACATCAGGCGTGTGACTTGTGAGCGTATCAAACTCTTCTTCTCTCAACTTTGCGCATCTTATCAATGAACATTTCCTCATCTTGACTTTGATTGATAGTTCACCGTAACTTACAGCCAAACTCACCGTAAGATACAGTGACATTCACCGTAAGTTACGGTCAAACCCATTGTAAGCTACGGTGCTGCAGCTTGACCGTAGCTTACGGTTAAATCAACCGTAAGCTTTTAACAGTGAATGGTGCGTTATCGGTTGTAACCCCTATCTCCCCCCCTTCCCCCTCTCGACCTCTCCCGCTTCTCCTAGTGCTTCTTTTTCTTCTACGCACGGTTAACGGGTTGGCAACAAGTTTTCGCTTTGGGGGGAGTTACGTTTTGTAAACGTTAATCATCCCCGCTCTTCCCTTTCCCGCTTATTGTGCTTTTCTTCATGCGCCGTGTGTGCCTCTTCATATCTGCGACACCCCCGCTCCCGCATCCATTCTAGAAAACAGAAATATAAAACGGGAAATGATTAAATATTTGCAAATGATAATAGCCGCCTCGCAAGTGGAAGCCCAGACGGTTGAGCTTGCCGTGGGGTTCGTGAGTCTGGAGCCCGCCCGGCGGCCACCGCCACCGCCCTCCGTCGGGCGCGCTATTGTTCGCTGATCGCGCCCAGGAGTTGGGGAAGTTTAATCTGAAACCATCTTAAAGGTGACCTGAAAGGCTCGGTATAGCAGCAGGAGGCTGTTGTACGGCACAGGGGCGGGGGTCGGG